AGGTATATTTCTAAACAAGGTAGTTCTATGCATCAAGTGGTTCCAATCAACTCTTATAACCTAATGCATCAAATATAAATGACTCAAGTGATATTTGTAAACACATAGGAGGCTTAGAATGCTTTGGGGCTTGCCTGTGATCCAACATTAGGTCAGTGTTTGTTAGATGACACTCGCTTGGCAAGTATCTCCCATTCTAGCACTTGTTTAGTCCTTCATCTTCGGGATAGGTCCACCATACACCATCTTCGGGTTCGGCTCTAATATCACGTCCTTCACGCGGTTCATCTAGCATACCTAGATAAGATGTAAGATGCAAATGTATGAATATGAAGAATGGTAATATGAGATGCATCATATAATAGCATTTAAGACAAATATAAGATCATACAAGACATAGACACCTAGAGTTATTTAACTAAACATCACACAACCTATTATAGAGGGATAGCAAGCATATTATGCATGGCACACAAGTGAACTCAAGTTCAGATATTGCACACATGCATCAATCAAGAACTAACCAATATGTTTAGCCAAAATAAGAGCAAGCTAAAACAATCATCTAGAATATGTATAGAAATCTAGACAGCAGCACAACAGTCAATTGTTTTAACCATAACTAGAGATATAAGGATACAACAAGGGTGACCCTAGACTTTATGGAAAGCTAATGAAATTGCCTATAATATTGTTATTATCACCAAAAGGTTATTCCAAAGCTAACCAGGTCAAACATGCCCATGTTTTAGATCTACATAGAACTAGGATAAAAAAGTAGTAGTAATTTCAAAAATGCATAACTAGAGTTACAGACATCAAACAAGCATGAACCTTAACTTTATAGAAATCTTATTAAATTATCTAAAATATATTTATTATCATCACAAGGTGATTCCACAATTAACAAGGTCAATCAAGCATAATTGAGCATTTCTGTCCAGACTTGGACATATTTTGCCATGCAACTTCATAAACTTATAACTGGAGCTCTACAACACCAAAAGGGGTGATCTAGGATAATTTGGAAAGCTTAAGTAAAGTACTATAACTATTATATTATCACTAAGATATGATTTCATACTTAATTAGGTCAAATAATGTAATTCTTCCAATCTACACAGAGCATGGACCAAACATGATAGATCATTTGTCAAATTCATAACTCCTAAACTATCAAATCCTAAGATCATGAAAATTTAACACAAGCAAGATATAATAATTATATACAACTTTTGTATTCACCAAAACCACAGAAAATATCATTTACACCACGAAAATAATTGCACAACAAAACGGCACATGCAGGCCAAATAGCAGTGGTATAATTATAGATAAAAAACTGATAGGAACTTTAGAGAAGCATAACTGGAGTTCTAGACTTTCAAAAAATATTAATAATAACTTTTTGAAAAGCTTATAAAGTTACCTACAACTTTCTTATTCTCATCTTAAGATGATTATACAGTTAACAAGGTCAATTACTCCAATAAATACATCTCTGTCCAAAACATGGACAGAATCTGATATGCAACTTTAAACAACTATAACTAGAGTTCCACATGTCCAATAAATATGGTTATAGACTTTTTAGAAAACTTAGAAAATGGTAAACAACTTTGTTATAAACACCTAGAGCTAATTCTACTATTAACAAGGCCACATATTACCAACAAGACAACCATGTCTGGGTTTGGGTAGAAACAGCCACAAAACTTTAAGCAACTATAACTAAAAATCTACTTAACCAAAAAATATATGTTTTTAGCTTTTTGAAAAGCTTAAGAAAAGTACTACAACTCATTTATTGTCATCAAGGCATGATTCATAACTTATCTAAGCCAATTAACACAAATATTCAGACCTATTTAGAATAGGAGCAAAGCAACATAGGGCAATTGTTTTTTTATAGCTCTTAAACCATAAGCGTAAAATCTTGAAATTTTTACCAGACATCAACCATCACCGAGTAGCATTTCATAAAAATTTCACATTTATTTTAGTACAAAAACTGCAGTTATGAAAAAGACAAGACATAACTAGTATGAAAAACCTAACTGCATAAATTGATTTTTACAGCAAAAACTTTAAACTAAAGCATGCCATATTATAGATCCACTACATATATAATTTCACAAGGATTCCAAAAACTCCATATTTGTTATTTTATGATTTTTCTACTAATTATTACAATTTTCCAAAGTTTAGCACATAAATCTACAAAAGAAAAGATTAAACCGAAAAAGAAAAATACTTTTGCATTGGGAACCCTAGAGATCTCAGAAATCAACTAAGCCCATATATGTAAATATATGTGTCTGGCATTTATGCAAGGTGAACACATGAAAAAGCTTCTATTTACAAGTGGGTCCTTTTTCTTCAACCTCATGCATAGTCGGAGCAGAGAAGGGGCAGAGGGCCGGCCACAGCCTGCAGGGGGGCGTCGATCGGCGATGGTGGCCAGCTAGGGCAGGGCCGGCTGGCCTGGGTGCACCCATGTTTGGCCTACGCTTAGCTACAGCTGGCCTCGACCTGACCACGGCCGCTGGCTATGGTCGGGCGGCGGCGGCGGCTACGGGCCAGCTCCGACGACTGCTGTGGCCATAGAAGTGGCGTGCCATGGTGGAGGATGGAGAAGGGAGCTGCGGGTGGAGCGACAGCAAGGCATGGTGCAGTAGAGGGGCAAGGTGGTGGTTGGGAGGAGCTCTGCCGCACGACAATGGCGGCCATGGCCATGGCGCTGGTAGGGAGCGAGAGAGAGAGAGGAGAGGAAGGAAGGAGGGAGAGGGTCTGAGGGAGCTCGGCGTCTCCCCAACTGCAGCAGGCAGGGTAGGGGCACAGGGACACGCGGAGTGGAGAGGGAGAGCCATGGTGGGGCGAGCTCCCGCATGGCTGCCACGCGCTCCCCCCTTAGAGGCATATTCGCGAGCATCTGGTGGGTGACGACATGGCCACTTTGGAGCCAAGTTTTAGGCATCTTTGAGGCATGTTCTGGAGTGGGTGATTAAAGCAAAGTTGTAGCTCTCCTGATGGTCTACAAACTTGATTAAGGGGTCATAGCCATTAGGGCTTTGAAACAACAGTTAATTAGCGTCCACTTTGCAAGTGTCAACGTGTTGACGCTGATGAATCAAATCCAAAATCGATGGTCAAGACATGGTCAAACGAGTGCCGTCTTTTTGTATACTCTCCTCTAGTAAATTGCCTCCAACTTTTATCTTTGGACCAAATCGAGTTGCTTAATAAAATTTGGATAACGCGAAATGCTGACATGTCAATGTTAGTTAAGTGACAAAGTAAACTTTTACTGTTTTAGAAATCTATTTTTGAAGATCCAAATGAATTCCAAATTTGATGAGACTTGATCTATTGTTTTCACCATGAAAAGTACTTCAAATCATCTTAAGGAATCCAATTGAGATACCACATGAATTTGGATGATAAAATGTCGTAAAGAAGTTAACTTACTGCTGTCACTTCAGGGACTTAGTAAAATTTATCGGGAGCCTAAGACAACAGCTGATTCAATTTTGAGCCTCGGTTTGACTTGCTTACAAGCTGATCTAGCTCTTGGTTCAAAAACAAAGTTTATTCTACTCCACTCAATCTTCAACTTTTATTTAAGGTGCAACTCCATGCAAGCAATGTAAGCTATTGGTCAACACAGGTCAAAATAGCATCACGGTAAAACTTAAATTAGAGTTTTAGACCGATTGTGGCATTTTCTTAACATTTGCTCAACACGAACCCTTCATGACTTTTGTTGTAGAGTTCAATTAGAGTCATTTGGGCAAGGTAGCAAGGTTTGGTCGACATCTCATATTTCCATTTACTTAATAAAGCAATCCAAGAAAGATTATAACTTATCATTTCATGTGACTTCTTAATTTTAAACTTCATGAAACTTTTCTTTTGGTCAAGATGAATGCATGTTGATGTAATATACATGAAAATAAGCATGTTTAACATTACTCTTGCATAATCTTAACAAGGATCCACATGTAAGTAAGGGTGTGTTGTCCAAGTTTAAGTTGGAGCTCACTCTTGTAGATTAGATATTGACACCTTTATCCTCACTTAACATGTCATGTTTGAGCTCAAACCCATTGCTTAACCGGTGATAAACATCTAGGGTGTTATACTAACTACTATATAATTGAACTGTAGTAAAAATTTCATGCTCATTGGATCACGTATAACTGAGTTATAGATTTATTTAGTTTTATGCTTATTAAATAGTTTTAAAATAGTTAAAATTGTGTAAAAATAGAAACGGGTATGAAATTTTTACTACAATTAAAACATACAATAATTATACCACCATAAAAATTTCACCATAATTGGACCATAGAAACCGCAGCTATGAATTAATTACAGAAAAACATAGATTTAAAGGTACAACAAAAACTTTGTACTAAAGCATATGATATTATATGTTTATTGTATAGATCTACTCATGTGGAGTCCAATAAAATTAGATTTGTCATTTTATGATTTTTCTGTGATTTACTATGATTTTTCAAATATTCAGCCAAAATAAATAAAAAATAAAAAGACAAAACCGCCTTTAAAAACCACCTATAATAGGGTCAGGGAGGTAAAATGAACGGTTTTAAAAGTTGAGAGATATGGTTTACCTATGTTTTTTTAGTTTAGAAGGAAAACTCAACTTCGAGAATATTTCAGGGAGATAAAATAGACTTTTTCTGATTTCAATTCCTCCCAGACGAAAGGAGCTCCTGGAAGAAGAAATAGCAAGCAACAATCATGGCCCAACAAAAAAAATTAAGACAGGCCTCCTATCACACTAATGACGTCTAGGCCCAGTAAAATGATTGCGACCACAGATCCCTGCGCCACGGGCCGGACTCGAGATTCGGCCCACCCACGTGTTCTGGTGGATCACGCGTCTTCTCCTCCAACCGCACCGATATCTTCCTCTCCCGTAGGGCAAGGGCGGTGAGGCGATCCGTCGGCGGCGTCGGGGGCGGTGGAGGAGGATGGCCGACGTGCAGGGAGACAAGGAGGCAGGCCTGGATGATGACGATTTCCCCGACGACGGGCCTTTAGATCCGGAGGAGCCAGGTGAAGGAGGAGAACCCCGCAGCGGAGGCGACGAGGAAGAGGAGGACGACGTCGACGGCCTCGCCAGCTTCCTCGAGTCGGAGATCCTCGGATCCAGCTACGAGGATCCTATTGACGTGAGCGCTCTCTGTCTCTTCTCTCCCTTCGTATCAAATCTTTTTCATGGCTGGGAATCAGGTCTCTGACAGCAATCGAATTGGTTGCCGCAGCAGGAGCAGCGGCAGCAGGAGGAGGACGGTGATGCCGCGAAGAATAAGCGGAAGCAGGGCTCGGGATCGGACGGGGATGGCTGCAGCGGCAGCGGCAGCGAGGGGGAGCAGACCAAGAGGGCGAAGAGGGAGGAGAAGAGGAGGCAGGCGAAAGGAAAGGCCGTGGCGCCTCAGATCGACACGGGCATGTTCAGCAACATCCCCCCTGAGCTGTTCCTGCAGATCTTCAAGTTCCTCTCTTCCGAGGACCTCATCTCCTGCGCTCTAGTCTGCCGCTTCATGAATGCTGCCGCGTCTGACGAGACCCTCTGGCGCCGGCTGTAAGTTGGCTGAGGAGGCTGCTCTGTCGATTCGTTGCCAAATTTGACGCAATTCGACTGAGACTTACATGTTCCTTGCCTTTCTGATGTTTTCAGGTACTGCATGAGGTGGGGACTGGCCTCCAATGCCAAATTCAGGGAGGGCGCTTGGAAGAACCTCTACATACAGGTAAATTCATCTGTTCATCATCACTGCTTCTAATTTGAGGTAGTTAGGGACATTAAAAATGGCATTTTTAGTTAGTTTTAGTGCTCACAGGCGATTTGGATACTAGGTATAGTTACATGCTGTAAATATGAACCAATGATTTGGGCACTAGGTGCATGTTGAAGTGCAAAGCTTTCTTTTTTACACCATACTCAGCTGAACAAAATAATATTCTGTCAATATTGCTGTGCAATATATTTGTTTGATGCTACTATTGTATTGATGAAGTCTTGCTAATGTTGTTTTTTCTGTTGTGTTTAATCCCCAGAGAGATAGAGAGGATATGGTTGAATTTGTGAGGAATACCCCTACAGAGTTCAAGGAGTACTATATTCAGATGCAGGCTGCAAAAAGGAGTCAAACTCCCCATCCGTCAGAAGTAATTACTAAATTCATACTTTTGTTTTATCTTTGTCAAATGTCCATCTTGTAGTTTCCCTTCGATCCAACAAAATTGTCTTGTGTGACGAAACTTCAAGTGCTCTTCATCTGGATTTTGAAGGTCAACGACGACAAGGTTATGCTTGATAAGACAGTAGCTGATCAGGTATCTAGTTGGAAAAACAGCCGGGGGCTTACTGATGAAGCTGTCAAGGGGCACTCTTGTTCTGGAAATACATGCTCGTACACCCAGATTGGCGATGCTTACATTTGTGAGAAGACTGGTCGTGTCCACGGTAATACATATTTCCTCTCTATATCCGTTTATCCAGCACGATTTCCTCTCTCTATCTGTTGATGTGTAATTAGATCATGCCTGAAAATGTTTTTGTTTCTTTTGATTTCAGTTTGTGATGATGCTTGTCGTGAATTTGTCTTGGACCAATCTAGTGGGCTGCTTCTTTGTACTATATCTGGCCACTGCTTTGAGAGGTGGCTGTGTCCTGATGATGAATGGGATGCTGATGATACTGTAAGTCCTCTACAAAGTTCCTTGCTTTCTTTTTTCCATTGATGTGCATGTACACGGTTTCAAGTTGTCTCTGCCAGGGAAAAATCATCCATAGCCTACACCATGCACAACATTATCATGTCACTAGTTTATTAGCAAATGCTACCAGGTTTCTGTGTCTGGTTTGCCCTCGTGACTAACATTTGGTTATTTGGAAGTTTCAGGATCTGCAACAGGCTGGTGTAGTGGATGAAGCAGAGCCATTCATGGGATCTGGACGTTACGGTGAGTCGAGTTTTCTTGTTTGAAATTGAGAAAGAAACCCACCTTTACCTACCCTGGAGCTGTCTTAAGGCAAGATTTGTGCTAATATTGGCATTTTTGGGGCCATAGAATGGAAGAGATAATTAAATTTATTAGGTTTTGAACTTCTACTTTTGTTGCCGAACCTGCTGCTCAGTGGGCAGGCGCAGCAGCTACATGGACCCCTTTCTTTATGTTGTTGCCAGCGCTTTCCCGGGCCGAGCCGGAATTCTTTATTCTTCATTTGTTTTGTTTTTAATCCTAGCCTCATAGGAATAGGAGTAAATGAATAAAAGGGTTGTTTGGCTTGAGGAATGAGGTGGCCCATCACCAATCTTATGCCTCACATTCTTGTTTGATTTGAGGAATGGAATGGGCTGACCATCATCAATCTCATTCCTCATATGCACATGATTAATGTAAAGGATGGAATAGCCCCACCAAAAATCATGGCCTTGTAGGATGAGTTCATCTATCAAACGAACACTCCCAAAGTAGTCCTTTATTCCTTTTGAATCTTATGTAGTATATTGTCTATTGATATCAAGATGCCAACAAGTTAGAATTTAAAATTTCTTATTTCTGAATTTCTCATAGTGAAAGTGAGGATAGAAGTAGAGGAGGTGGGCCACTGCATCTTGGTCCTGTCTTCTTTTAGAACGTTCTTATGCAAGTAACTGCCTGGCACTATGTAACCTTCTGCATACTGTTCATTGTGGTTTTCTTTTATTTGAACATTGCTCTTCTATTAATGCAATGTAATAGAAGTCTGTATTAGTGATTTTGTTTGCAATGTTTCATTTCAATGAGTTACTGACCGTGATCATGCTTTTGATACAATGAACAGCGCGAGCGATTATGTTGGGTTACAACTGCACTGATGAGAAGGAACTTGAGGATGCCTTGGGTTTCTGTTGATGTGTTTCTGTCGATATGCCCTTCACTCTTGCTACATGATCAAGCTTCTACTTGTGAAGATGAAACAAGCGGGAATGCGGATGTATAGCTTTGTGCTATGTTTTACCATATTTCACCCTCCAGGATGTACCTAAGAATAGACTTACTTTTGAGGTAGATCGCTGATATGTTTTGATCAGCTGAGGGAGTTATGTTGTCGTATGGTTTCCTAAATTAAACGAGATGTATGCCTGTAATAAAATATTAAGGTACATAATGAGCCTTTTGTTTGTATTGTATGATATGATGTTGGTGTATCGGTTAGATGCATGCGAGATACTGATGCGTCTTGATTTTGAGTTATAACTTTTTAAAAGGGAGATACTAGCCCCCGGACGTCCGCGCCGGTGTCGGGGGCCTCTCTGTTTCCTGCGCCACCTTCATTTTCCGTGCCCGTGTTGTGTGGATGCGTCGCCCTACCCATGCCATCCGCTTGCACACGGGTACTGCCTGCTTTAGCTCTGCTTTCCCGGGCGCACATGGGGACTGCTTTCCCGCGCGTACATGGGACCGCTTACAGCCCCCTTCATATCGAGCATGCGGGGATCATCTGTGCCTGCGTCGGCTGCTTCCCATGCCCGCTTCACATGGGAACTGCATGCACGGCGCTCTAGCAACTGCAGCCGTCACAGGTGGGTCCCATAGCAACATATGCAACACCCGATCTATTTTTGTAACATCCAGATGAAACATTTGCAACATACGTCCGAAATAACTGAAACACTTGTAACATACGTCTGAGACACTTGCAACATACGTCTGAGACACTTGCAACATGCATCTGAAACACTTGCAAAACGCCTGAAAATACTTAAAAGCCGTTGTAAGCATATACAACATTCAGATAAAACACATGCAACATATGTCTGAAACATATGCAAGATCCAGATAAAACGCTTGCAACATATGTCTGAGAAACAGATGAAACATTTCAGACTCTTGCAACATGCTTGTATAGCCATTGCAACATGTGCAACATCTTGATCTACTTTTGCAATATCCATGCGAAACATTTGTAATGTACATCTGAAACATCTCAAACAATTGAAATATACATTTGCAACATACGCTTTCACGCAACATCTCCTTGTTGCTTGCCGTACGGAGGGAGCGCAGCTACGCACGCGGCCCCACTGCGCCAAGCCACCATGCCGCTACCGTCCAAGGTCATCCACGAGCAGGCCGGCCATCAGCACGGGCGACGCGGAAGACATCTACGCGAGGAGGGGGCGGAGGCGCATCAAGGCACCCGGCACATCACGACGCCATAACAAATAGGAGGGCTGCGTGGCTGCGTACGCCTGTGACAGAGGAGTTCATCTACTACGCGCCGTCGGCGGAGGGCTGTGCCATGGGATGGCGTAGGAAGCGGGCCGAAGAGACAGCTACATCTGGCACCAGAGTAAGGCGAGAACGACGCAAGGGCCAGGAGGAAGAGGGGCGGCCGTGGCAAGAAGGAGGCACGATGAAGAGGGAGGAAGGTGGGTGGCCACGCTCTGGCGCAGTGGAGATGCCGGCCTGCGAGCGCCCGGACATCGGAGGCGGCGTGACGGAGCACGATCATGGCGCTGCGGTGATATGCGTGACTGGTTCTAAAAAAACGAGTGGACAAACATATATGATAGGATGGAGAAACAAGTGGACGAGCAGATAGAATAGATAGAATAGGATAGGAGGAGGTCGTTGGGCTCACGGCCCACCAACAGGAGGGTTCGGATGACAACCTACAGAAAGTAGTACCGTTTTTAAAATGACTAAAATGTAGCAAACGAAGCGCTTCATTTTTCAGGTCAATGGATCTACGTATTTTGCGTGCTCGGTTTGTTTATGCACTGATGATGGTAGTCGGCTATGACAGCGCGATGTACTGAGAAGTCAACTAGTCAAGTTCCATCACTCTCGCACCATGATTCTGCATGCTGTGGTCAAGTGGCACTGCTCTTCAAAGTTTACACCTTTTTCTCCCAAGTCAATTTGAACGTAGTAGCAAGAACTGCAAGCCGGAAAAGCAGAAGAGATTGCAAGTCTGTCACAGCAAAAGGAACAGGTCACAAAAGTAATTTCTGAGACTCAATTTTCAATATGTACAAAACGACTATAGTTCTATATAGTTGTTTACCATATCAGACCACCTATCTAGCACTAAAACTCACCATTCTGGTACTAGGATTCATTTTTCAGCTCACATTTGAAGGTGCCTTTTTCGCCTGAAGCTTGGGCAGAGGCATTTTCAGCTGAAGCATACCCTGGTGCTCTGAACGATTCCTTCTTTTTTTTCCTTTTTCTTTTTTTGCAGCAAGACTTCGGCAAAAGCCTTCTCAAGTGCAACCTTAGAGCATCTCTAGCAGCTCTCCTGTCCCAAATCTAACCACCATATTAGGGCGTTGGCTCAAAAATATTGCTCCAACGGCTCCCTCGTCTCATCACCATTAATTGGTGATCACACACACAAAAAAACACCAAGTCCCCCGAATAGAGGGGGAGATGCAGCTCCCCAAAACTCACCCGCATCCCAACTACCAGGATTTCCTTCCCATGTCCACGCAGATCTTTTGTCTCCAGCGAGCTGTCGCCTGGCGGCCTCCAGCTCGCGCTGTAGACGGTGGAGGTGCTCCAGCTCGTATCAGTGTCAGTGTTGGCGCCCGCGTCGGCGGAGGTTCTCCAGCTCACGTCGGTGGAGGGTGGATGTACTCCAGCGTGCGTTGGTGGATGTTGGAGGTGCCTGAACTCGCGTCGGTGGAGGTCGAGGTTGCCCCGTCGCCTGGGTCGGCGGCTCAACTACGCGGAGGTGCCCGAACTCGCGTCGGTGGAGGTCGAGGTTGCCACGCCGCCTGGGTCAGCGGCTCAACTACGCGCCGACGCCGGCGCCCCTACCCTTGCTCTGCTTGCTTCCTGCTCTAAAACATTACCAACTTATTGGGGAGTTGGATTAAGGAGCTGCTGGAGATGTTCTTAGCAGCCTTGTAAACGTCAGGGAACACACCCGCTCCCAATCCGTAAGCAAACCGCTCTGATAACGATCTTTGTACCAAGCAGCTAGGCTAACCCCTACCATGTTTGGAAAGTAGATGATTTTTTTTTTTGGAAATTACATGACAAATACTACCTTTTGAACTATGAATCTAGATGTTTTTTTTATATTTTTGGAGACTGTTTCTTGACAAAGGACATACTCAAAACTAAGTTTCAGTTTGAAATTAAACTTAAATCATTGAGCTTGTTTTATATGATTTTAAATTTAAATTCAAATGAAAACTTAATTTTGAGCATGTTCTTTGTTAAAAAAAACTTTAGATTTCACCTAAGCACATATATAAAAAATACATGAAAAAATACTACTTTCCGAATCATGAATTTAAATGATTGTTATTTGGAGTTTTAGAAAAATTTCAGCAAAAATTCAAATATAATATAATGGGAAGAATTTTAATTTGAAAACTTCAAAATCAACGACGCTAGATCTGATCCAAGCAAATGGGTTGCGTTTGATTTTTAGCAACAATCTTAAAGATCCCTAGATATTTTGTTTGGAATCGAAAAGAAGAAAAAATCTAGAAAATCAAAACGGTGGAAGCATGCCTTGCTACTTGCTTGTTGTGGCTTTCTGAGACATCTATGTTGTTTGTCGTGGAACGGGCTTACTAGCGAGTGGACAGCCGAAAGGCCTAGCTATCGGCTTTCTAAGCATCAACAAGTATGTCAGCACAAATTACGTCTACACAGAAATTAGTCTACGTGGATGTGACAGTCTGACAGATACATATCAGCTTTTGTCGATTAGGGTCGTGCAGCCATACAACTACTTAATTATTAGATCCTATATCTGTAATTTTAATTCTTCCAGCTCTAAGTTCTACAATTATTTATTTAAATACTATTATTCTAAAAGAAAAACCAAAACTCTAGAGATACGATGAATTTACAAACAATATCCAAGTAGCAAATTTTGCACCACCAAAATAGCACCCCCTTCCCCCTGTGGCAGGCACTTGGCAGCGGTTAAGTGCTTAAGCTCGTTTGCATTAGTGTAACATGAGTCCATCAGGCGAACTGATCATAGATCAGTTGGTTATGTTCCTTGTGATGGAACCTATCCATCCGGATTCAAGTTCTCGACTTAGCACGGGTGCTCATTTTTTCTGGATTTATTCTAGGATTTATGGACGCTATACTTTCAGTGGTAGGTGATGTCCCCGTCGACAGCGAGGCATCAGTGGTGACTTTGTGAATCTCGAGATCTACCGGCTCAGTCCTTCGGAGGTGTTCATAGGGGTAGGGTTTGCGTACGTGTGTTCATAGGGGTGAGTGCGCGTGTGTGTTGTGGGCATCTGCATTGTACTGTGTAATTCTAAAAAAAACATGAGTCCTTCCGGACATTGCCTCTTTTTTTCCTGAAGAAGCAACTTTTTCTCCAACACACAAAAGCAATTAAGAAATTTAGAATTTTGCAATTACCACAACTAAGCTTTGTTCAAATATTATTCTATATTTGGGGTCCGCCAATATGCCATTATCAAACAGTAGTTGTATCCTATACTATAAGTCTATACTATAATTTTCTCAGTTTCTAGTTCATTAACTAATTTATCCCTTCTTTTCATATGTGATGAGATCAAAATGCACCATTGTCCTGTTCGCTTGGCTGATAAGTCATGGTTGAAAGTACTGTTAGCTAATTTGTTGTGAGAGAAAAATATTGTTCGTTGACTGAAAAAGTATGGCTTATAAGCCAAGCGAACAGGGCGACCATGTCTCTACCATAATTGATCCCCTTGCAGGTCCTTAAACAGGCCCTCAATTAAAATTTGAGAGCTTAGGTAAAAAAAATATAGGTCCAACAGAGCCCCTACTCAAGCCCCAAAGTAGAAGGCATTCAAATCACTCCTCCTCGGACGTCAACCCTCATTCGGGGGGACTCTCGCCACAACCGCTCTCAGTTCGTTGAAGTAGTTTCCCACCCG